ACACACGTCGAGAGTTTGTCGCGGAGTCCAGTCCCGCGAGAGTCTTTGATCACGCGTCACGCGTAAAGAGCGTGCAAGGAGCGCTTGATCAACAAATTTTCAAAATTATTCACGAACAAAGAAAGGCGCAGCTCGGCTCCAATACATACTCAATTTTGCATTTTCGCCGCGGCAGAAGTCCTCGACGGCTCCTCGCAATTTCATCGCAATTTGTCGTGTAAAATTCGTTCAGAGCTACGTTCAACGAGGAACACTTTCTGAATATGTGTCTCTGCGAACATCCCGTAAATTCACCGCTTCTCCATGACATCTCTCCGTGACATACATATTTGATGCGGTTGCTTGCTCCCTCACGAGAAAATGTTTGCGTAGGAAAGTGTCGCCCTGTAGCTTACCTTAATTAAAGTTTTTTAATATGTTCATTAACTTGTCACTGTTTCCAGAAAGTTCTGGCCTAACGAAGTTAATTAAATATTCTTATCTCGCGCAAACAGCTTCCCGTAAAAAAAGGAAAAAAGCGCGAAGAGAAACGGCGAGAGAGATGGTTGTTTGAACATCGCCAACTTCGGGGCCTTCCTTCGTTCATTCGTTCGTTCGTTCGTTCGTTCGTTCGTTCGTTCGTTCATGCGAACGCGTCGACCACTTCATCGCCTTCCTTTCGCTCCAGTCTAACGAGATTCTTTCTGACAGCTTGAGTAATTATGCACGAAATGGAAACGCGATGCTAGGCCGCGCCGTGGCGATTTGGCGAGAGACGGATCACCTGGCGTCACGTACTCTTGTGTGCGTCCCGGCGAAATCTCTATCTCCTTCGCGTTACGTCCGCGTGTTTCCTGGCCGATCCTTTAAAGAAGATAATTAACGCCAGAAATATCGCCACCCCTCTACCCGGCCCGCGAAACGCGCGCGAGCTAAGCGGATAATCATGTACTGCTCGCTACCCAAGTGACGAGATGAGTCAAATGACGTGTCAATGATGCATCGATGATGTCTTTAACGTCCATAATACGTCACTCGTACGTCACTTGACACCTTTGACGTCAGTGGCACGTCATTGAAACGCCACATTCGACGTCATCATGAACTTTCGCTGGCCACGAACAGAAATGCGGCGATTTTGTTACGATCATCGCGCGCGAGATCGCAATTTATTATGTAAAAGACAGCCGTTAACGAAATCATTGTGGAATTAATTGGCACTCAGCGTCGTTATTTACTTAGCACCTCGGTAAGTGCTCTCACGTGTGACTGTTCCGCTTTCAGGCGGAACGTCGGACGAAAATGCGATATCGAACACGGGATGTATCTTCATTTTTCTTCATTTACTTTCATTATTCTTTATTTATTCAATAGCGTGCCGTATATAAACTCACGTTTCATTTCCGCCGTAATGCTAACGCGTAAATTCAATTAGAACGCTGTAAATAGCCGTTTCCGCTTTGTTATTCTTCAATTAAAATAAAAGCGAACGTTTCGACCACGCGTTCGGCGGCGGCGGTGCGGAATCCTACGCTGAATGGTCGAGAGCTCGCGGAAACAGATACGTGGAGTCGCTCCGGCCGTGACAGAATCGTATGTCTCCGGCACGGTCGCTTCCGTCCGTCCGTCTCTAACACGATCTCTGTCCCGACAGGTAAAATAATTATGTACAAAACGGTGCGGAAAGGCGACGCCAGTCTGCAGTACACGATACTGCCGCAGACGGATCAGTTCACGTCGGGCGGATTCCCGCAGACCTCCGGCAAGACCCAATTGCGGGTCACCAAGTACGCGATCGGCGCCCTGATGGTGCTGATCACAATGTCCTGCGTGGCCACGCCGTTCCTGATGCACCAGAACGATCACAACCTCTTCGCCGACACGACGCTGGCGATGAGCCGGGTCGAGCCGGTCAGGAACGCGTCGAGAAGCGTCCAGACGAAGGAACCCGTAGCGAGTAACAAGAACAGAGGCAGAATCCCGATCACGACCACGGTGTCGACGACCGAGGTCACCAAGAGGAAAGACCTCGACGACACTACGACCTCCTTCGGCGGGATTCTACGCGGGGAGGAGGAGGAGGAGGCGATGATGGTGGTGGTCGACGACGCCACGTTAGCAGGTATGTTGTTTCGCTCGAATTTGGCGACGGGAAACGACGCTACACACAGAAAAGTATCATTCCGCTGTTAAGACAAAAGCGGCTTACCTCCCTCCTTTTAAATAATGCTTATCTTCAACAAAGAACCTTTTCTGCATAATGGTCTTAAGATACACTCGTCACAAATTTCGGAGGAGCTCATTACCGTGTACTCAAAAGAATTTGTTTCTCCTTGCAAGAATATTATGAAACTTTGTCGAAGAAGAGAAGACAGTTCGACTGTATGTAGTGAGCAAACACCGAACGTTTGCTTTAATTTAATATTCTTAGTTAAAATGTCAAGCTTATTAAGACTCAGAATGTATCTTGAATAAGTTTGTTACTTACGATGAACTTAGGGTAGATTAACAAATATGCACTAGCAGAAAAAGTTTTGCCAATTTAACAAAATATCCGCGAGACAAATAGTTTACTGATATAGGATATAGCAGGTGACCTCATAATGGGAACAAATAATTTATCACTTGCAATTTGCTGTCCTAAGCTAACACTTCTGTAATGGAGATATAACTGATCTAACCTAAATAGACGAGAACAAATGTGATTCATATCTCAGATGATGTATATTTGTTGAAATGACAAATGAGAAATGATCTGCAACAGTAACTATTCGTTTCCCTAGCAATCATCGAACAGCAAACGTGCTTTTGTTTTGGCAACCAAAGGATTTTTCTCAGGCTCGTATTAATAGTCGTTACTGGAAATTTGTCTCACGTGAAACACTCAGATTTCAATTCAGAGTTAGATTTGAGGTTTTCAGTTAAATCATATTACATGAGAAATGTTTAAAATACATCAAATTGTATGAGATAAATTTCAAGTGACAACTATTAATAAGCGTAACCTACTAACCTTAATCTAATAAGTGTCTAACCTAACTTGTGTACGGAGAAAATGTTTGATTGGGTTAAGCAAATTTCTGGTGAAATATGAACGAATCCGACAGAAGTTCCCCAAGTTCTGTTCAAGTTTTAGTCAGAAATCTTGTTAATTTGAACGGAATTCTGGTAATTTCAAGCGGAATTTTCTGGTTCGTTCACACCTCACCGGAAATTTAATGTAATCCTTTCCGAAATACTTGAGACAAGTAACATTTACTTGAATAAAGTATACGTTTTTCTGTGTGTAAGTAAAAGTATCAATTCCCGGACACGTAATCCTAGACATTCTTATTATTTTAGTCTTTCAATATTTTTAACATAGAATGTATGTTTATATACTCAATACTTGTATATACATCTCTTATGTTGAAAATTTTAACTTTGTATTTAAAACAGTAATAAATTATGATGGCCCTCAGATATAAAATCAACAAAAATTAGAAGAGAAAAGCGTTTAAGAGCCTAGGCACAGGTTTAATATTGCAATCAGAAATAATTAAAAAAATTTTTTTTTGTTTTTTAGTCATTTAGTGTTTTTTTTTTAATGTAATTATTTCTGATTACACTATTAAACCTGTGCCTAGGCTGTCAAACGCTTTTCTCTTCTAAATTTTGTTGATTTTGTATTTAAAGACCAAAAGAATGTTCAGGATTAGATACGTGTCCAAACATACTTTTACCTTACGCGAGCAAATAATTAATAGATTCGAAATATTTCACACGGCGACGTGGAGTCTCACGTCGTCTGTTGAAAGTTAACGACATTCTCGGTTATGATTATCTTATCATTGAGATGTTCGGTCCATCCTGCGGCACGATGTAATTGCATTATCGGCCGAAATAATATTCCACTCGTTCGAAAACCCGAATAGTTCACTCAAATCGAGACATGAGAGTGTTGCGCGATCGAGCGCGAGATTTAATTTCCTGCCGCTTAGAACGCGAGATGAAACATGCAAATGGGACCGCGGCTTAAAACGAATTCCGGCTTAACATAAATTGAAAGCGACGAGCTCTTCAGCATTCGCTTCGTTATCAATTTTACGATTGCGACAACGATAATAGATACCGCAGATAAGCAGCACTTGTCAGTTGGATAAACTTCAGCTTATTCGCGAAGGTATACTTCAGTTCAAGAGCCTTCCCCGAGAACAAACAACCTCGATTCTAAGATATAAATGTTCGCATAGAACGGAACACTTTTTATTTCGACTTAACACAAAAAAAATAAGAATACAATCTTACGATTGCAAATGTAGTTCCAACATGTAAATGCATGCTATTTTTTATCGGCAATTACCCACAGCGTTATTTCTAAAGCAACCAACCGAAATTTCCTGGCTATTTATTTATTTACCTGTTTGTTTATTTGCGAAAGTATATTTCAGTTCAAGAGTTTTTCTCAGAAATAAACAACCTCAATTCTAATATATCAATGTTCGCGCAGAATCGAACTATTAACTCTCGCTCAATATAAAGTAGAAATGGAATCTTATGATTGCAAATTCCAGTTCCAACATATAAATGCATGCTATTTGTTATCGATAATTGTTTACAGCGTTATTTCTAAAACAATCGACTGAAACTTCTTGGCTATCTATTTATTTCTTTATTTGCGAGGATATATCCCAGTTCAGCAATCTTCTTGCAAATTCACTTTTAATAAATATGTGTTATTTATTACGAGTAATGACAGCGCATTATTATTAAAGCAACCGACCGACATTTCCTGACTATTTATTCATTTGTTTGCGAAGGTACATTTGAATTCAACAGCCATTGAGAGAAAAACAAATAAAATTCTAAATATTTGCATAAAACCGACCTTTTCAACTTTAACCCAATACAAAATAAAAAAACTTGCGACTGCAAATTTAGTTCCAAATATAAATGCATGCTGTTCATTACCGACAATTACTTGCAACGTTCTTTCTAAAGCAACTGACCGAAATTTCCTGTCTGCCAATACACTGAGAGAA